CACGGCCAGGCCAGGTCAGCTGCCCGGCCGCCACCACCAACGTACCCGGACTTCCTTGTAGAGGCGGAGGTATTCGCTGTTCAGGATGAAGTATCGGTCGTGAAAGCCGGTGCTGAGTCCCACGCCCAGCAGGTTCTTCTCCTCCCGGAACTTCATCATCCCGTGCTTGCTGTCGCCCCCCTTGCTGGCTAGGGAAGAAGAGACGGGTTGGGGAGCCAGGAGAGGCCGGGAGGCGAGGGAGGACGCCGGGACCGCCTGCCGGACGTGGCTGGAGGGGCCCACTGCCCTGCTTGAAGGACACGTCGGGGCCACCCTTGCATGGCTGGCGAGCTCCGTCCCTACCCCATCCTAACCTGAATGACAGCCGACGGGGGGAAGAAGGCTGGGCCGATGGAGGCCTTGGTCTGGACCCAACGCCAAACAATGCCACACGTAAGTGCAAGCTCTCCGGGGTCTCAGGCACAAGAGGCAGCCTTTGGGCAGGAGGTGGGGCTCCATCATCTTTAGGATCCCTTCCCTCGTGACTGTTCTCCGATTCTACGCCTGGAGACCGGATCCATGGCATGCTCCGCAGAGCCAAGATGCTCTTCCATGCCATTGCCTCCATTTCTCTCTCAACCACATGCGAGACTATGTACGGAGGCGCACGCACACATTACAGAACCTTGGTACCTAGATACGCTTCCGTGTGGGCCCATGCCCTAAGGCGGCCCTCCGTGCCTTTGAGAACGTGGAATTTGCGTTCCCAAGACGGGCGTGTGACAGGTTTGTCATTTTACTAAATGAAGACCCACCGATTTATTGCAGGAATAATCAAGTGGGGCGTCACGAGGTGGCCTTTGCATCTAGCATTACACCCGTGCAGACCCTCTGTATCCACAAAGGGAAGAATCGCTGCCTACAAGAGACCTTTTCACAAGCCTCCGGGATCCCTTCTGTGCGACACCCTTCTCACATCTTGTGTCAGTGAGTCCCACATGTCACCGGCATGCTTACACCCAAGGCTGTCCCAAGGCGGTCAAGCCCCCCCTTTTCCTGGGGGCATCTTAGGGGCTAACGTCTTGAGAACACGTTCTCCCTGCTCAGGCCCACACAGAGGAGCCTCCCTGCTGAGTGGGGTTTTGAATCCCAGCGCCTCCCTCCTAAACCGGACGTGCCATCGAAGGCTGGGAGGGGCCAGAAAAGCAGGGCCACAGAGCCATGTACTCTGTGGTTCCGTCTCTGGTGGACGAACGGACCGAAGCAGGAAGGAGGAGGGAGAGAGGGAGGGAGGGAAAGCCGCCCCCAGCACCTTACCTAAGTAAAGCAACATGCTGTCCATGGAGAGCTGCTTCTTCACCACCAAGTAGCTCTCTTTCCCCAGGCTGTGCAAAATGGGGAGAACCTTCTCCATGTAGTGCAAAGGCCGTTCTGCAGGTGGGAGGGGAGGCAGGAGGAGGAATGAGGGAGAAAGAGAGAGAGAGAGATTGGCACAGTGGGCCCAAAACCTCTGGACAGCTGGAAGAGAGGCATCGGGGGCACCTGTCCTGGTGGCCCCTTTAGAGATCTGTCCTTCCTCCCAAGCAAGCCGGTGAGCCTCCCCCCCAGCGCAGAAGGGCCACTTCACCGTACCCACTCTTGGGGTGGGTGGGGGCCCTGCCCCACCCTCCACAGACCTGCCTCCTCCCGTTCATTGACTTCAAAGCAGCTCCAGAAGTCCTTCTTCTTCATGACAATTTTCCTCCGGTCCAGGATTTCAAACGTCAGTTCCTCGGCAGTCATGGTCGCAGGAATCTGGAGGAAAGACGGCGGCATTTTGACAGGAGCCCCGGCCACTTGCCGGTTCGGACGAGACAAAGAGTCCAAACAGGACACAAAGGTGTCCACAACTCAACCAATATTTCTTGACCCAGTGGGTTGTGGGTCCGTGGAACTCCTTGCTACCAGGATGTGGGGATGGCATCTGGCCTAGATGCCTTGAAAAGGGGATTGGAGAGATTCCTGAAGGAAAAGTTCCATCGCAGGTGACAAGCCACGATGGTGATGTATCATCTCCAGGCTTCGAAGGAAGGGACCTCCAAATGCCAGATGCAAGGGAAGGGGTATCACGAGACAGGTATATCTAGTGGTCTTGTGGGCTCCCAAGAGGCATCTATCTGGTGGGGCCACAATGACCCAATGCAGGGGAGGGGAATCAGGAGACAGGGATCTCGTGGTCTTTCATGTGCTCCCAGAGGCATCTGGTGGAGCTACTGTGAGATCCAGGAAGCTGGACTAGAGGGGCCCTGGGCCTGATCCAGCACATGGCTCTTCTTAAGTTCTTATGTTCTTAATGTGTTGCAGACTCTTAAAATCCACCAGTTTCGGTCGGTGGAGGCTTCTGCTTCACACTCTGCTGCCTCCCCCCCCCCCCGATCGAAGAAGGCTACAATCTGCAAAAGTGGGTGCCAAATAAAACTGGCGGCTCTTGAAGGTGCCACAAAACCCTCTGTTCTTGCGACAGGGGTGCGTTTATCAATTCATGCAGAGCGAAAACAAAGCCAAGCACGTACAACAGAAGACAAGGTCAAAGCTACGCTTTTGTGACTTATCCCGTGGCAACTTTATACGAGGGAATATCAAAAAATCTTCCTGCCTGGTTTTTTTTTTATTCTACAAAAGGGCAAGAACGCCTGAATAAAGACAGTGACTAGACGCCAAGGAAACACATCCACAATATGTGTAATCATATGAAATAGCGATGTGTTACTGTCTGTATTTTAGAAAAAAAATAACAAAGGTCAGCACCCCCGTTATTATTTCAGTTGTGCAAATGAATGTAGGACACAATGGAGAGGTCCCCTGGCGCCTGATCCATTCACTCAGATTAGCCACAGTGCCCCAAACCCTGTTGCGTAGCTGACGCTGGCGTAAGGGTGCTGACATTACCAACAGGGGAAAGGTGTGGTTAAGTGAAGAGTTTCTGCTTCAGTCTCCAGAGTCCACCCAACTCACGCACAATGAGATGGATTGCACGTGAATCAAATGAACTGTGGGAGAGAAGCAGGAACTCTTTTAACACTGGCAATCTTCCCCTGCCAGCAACAACATCACCCTTACATCAGCATCATTTGCATCATTTGTAAACACTCCTTAGGACAAACACCAGTAGGATTGTGACTAATAAATAGTTTTTTTTTAAAGATTTTGAAATATATCCCTATACAAGTCTATGCTGTGTTTGCCTCTGGACATCATTGCCTAGTGTGAGCTGTAGCCACACCCAGCTACCTAATCAGGTTGCGCGCAGCTGGAAAAGGTGCGAAAACGGCAATCGGACTAATCAGCTGGTAGCGAAACCTCCCTCCGGGCCTCTTTAAGGTTTTGCAAAGGTCGTCTACGCAGGTTTACAAGTCCTCCACAGTATAGAGGAGAAGAGTTGGGGGGGGTGAGCCATAGATGGGTGGGTGGGATCCCGCCAGCCGTAGCCCAGAGCGTCACCTGTCCGGGCCCTAGTTCTGTCTGTGGACTTCCTGGGGACATGGGGCTAGTTGCCTTTGTACAACACGTCCCTTCTTTACTTTTTACTTTGCTTTAATTAGATTTATACCCCGCCCCTCTAGACCAGGTCTACTCCGGGCGGCTTACATACATAAAACATAACAAACAGCATCTTAAAAGCATTGAAAACATCAAAATTTTAACAATTATATAAAAAACCTTGCCAAGACGGAAAGATTAAAGAAAAATGAAGGTCAGTTTAATTGACTGGAGGGTCGCCCCACCTGCCTCAGGGGCCAACGGAGGAGGTCAGCTGGCACATCTCTCTCCCCCCAACCCGGAGCTGTGGCTCCACTCACTCCCGGCAAACCCTTCCCCTGTTTCCTCTCCGGCCTGCGGGCCCCACCTTGATATGTTGCTCAGCCTCCGTCTTCTTCTCCTCCAGGTACACGGTGCAGATGAAGTCCCCCGCTTGCTGGAAGGGAACAGGACATGGACGAGAATGACACGGGGGCATGGTGTGTGTGTGAGAGAGAGTTAAGACCTTGCTGATTTCCCATGACATTTTCAGCTCACCAGAAGCCCTTCTCCTGGGACCAGCACCAAAGACACGCTCCGTGCACAAAGGCTCATCATCTTTCGCCCGATGGTTCACTGTTATAAATCTAGGAATATTTGCTAGACTGGAGGGTTTTACGAGGGCTTTTCATTTTATTTTGGAAGCTGCCCAGAATCAGAATGAGTCTAAACAAACAAAGAAAGAGACAAACAAGCAAGGACCTATTTCTTTATTTATTTGGACTGGTTTATTTATTGGAGTTTGCTTGCTTGCTTGTTTCTTTGCTTGTTTGTTTGAGCAATTGTTCAACAGCCACAAAATCTCAGCCATTTCCCTTTTTTAAAAAAACTGTGCTCCATCATGGCCGTGCCCTGAAGCCACCATCCACCCTCTGAGACCCAGAGACATTCTTGACCACGAAATTGACGTGGCAAGATCTTGCCACCATCACCGCCACTCCACCTGTGGGAACGAGAGGCCCACCTGCTTTCATGACAACCGCCGTGGCTTTCTTGGTTTCATTACAACTGCTGCCCTCTGCGACCTGGCTACCGTCTGACCCAGCTCAGATTTTCCACAGGATGAAGCAGAAGCCAGAGGCCCCTTCCAGCTGGGGCACCGGAAGCCTGGTGGGACTTACCTGCGTCCCGCTGGACGAACCCGCCACCCGCATCTTCATGATGGCCGTAATCTCCTCTTGCTGCTTCCTCATCTCCTCCTCATCCACCTGCCAAGCGTTTGGAGAAGGGACATAGAAAAGGAGATTTTAAGAAAGGAAAGGAGAAGAAATCAAATAGGGACAAGCCTGAAAATATTACCGGGTTTTTTTTCGTTTATAAGACGCCCCCCCCCATTTTTTAACCCCAAATTAAGAAATCTAAGTGGGGCTTAGCAAGTGGAGGGGAAAACAGGGATCAAAGCCCTGCAGGATCGCTTTGATCCCTGCTTTCCCCTCCACTTGTTTTTTTCTTTCTCCTCAGCTTACTTCCATGTATAAGACGACCCTCAATTTTTAATCTAAAGATTTTAGACAAAAGTATAGTCTTATACATGGAAAAATACGGTATATAGGGAAGGAAAAGGAGCAGAACAGGAGAAGCACCATATATCTGCAGGGGAGCAGCTCCATGCCTCCTTACAGATAATGAAAACCATGGATAATAGCAAATGCTATACACAGCATGGTAAAAGAAAAATCCAAAAATATGTATTTTCACCATGTATTACCAGACTTGGTCACTAGAAGAAGCCAGATGCTGTGCGATGTATTCTCCAACAACAAGAATACCTAACGGGGTCTCTGTCTCCCTCTAGTGGCCAGTTCTGCTAAATTCATCATGAAAATATGTATTTCTAGGTTTTCCTTTTAATATTTCCAGACCGTGGATAAGTAAAACTCCGGATACTGGTCGTACATATACAGGGGTTCTACTGTAATTGTTTAACAGGAAAATGATATGAACAACCATGGCAGTGCAAGGAAACAGATCAAGGTTTTATCATTCCCAACACGCAAGAACTTTTTCCTCAGAGTTAACGGCTGTGGAGCTCCTGCGTTGTGATGACTAGAGTACCTGCTCTCAATGTCTGGCCCTCTGGACCTCTTGGATTTCAACTCCTGGAAATCCTACCCAGCCTGGTCAGGAATTCTGGGAGCTGAAGTCCGAAACCTCCGGAGGGTCAAAGGTCAAGCATTTCAGGGTTAGTAAGTGATAGACTAGGACTCTGAAGACCTGGGTTCAAATTCCAACTTGGCCATGAATTTCAGTAGATGAATTTCAGGCCAGTCTTACTTCTTCGGCATGGCCTATCTCAAGGGATCGAACAGCATGACCCCTGCATCCGCAGGTGACCAGTTCAAAGCCCCCACGGATGCTGAAAACCGTGGATAATAACACATTTATACACAGCATGGTCTCTGGCTCCCTCTACTTGCAAGTTCTGGTAAATGTGTCTTTAGAAACACATATTTCTATGATTTTTCTTTGAATGCCTTTAATATTTTCAGACTGTGGATCAGTGAATCAGCGGATACTGATCCTGCAAATAAGGGGGGGGGGGGGTCCTACTGTGTCTGGGATCTTTAGGAGCCACTGCTGCCGGACCGAGCAGGCAGCATTGGCCCAGAAGGACCAGCAGGCAGCCTGAGTGAAAGGCCACTTCCTCTCCGCCCTTTTCGTTGAGCGTCCAGCAGGATTGGGAGAGAGGGACTCAAGAGACCGATGGGGCTTCCTCTAAGGTCCTGTCTCCCGATCCCACTGAAGGTAGGGCAGCTCCTGGGAATGTCTCCCGGGCACTCTCTCCTCCCCAAGCCCCTCCTGCCTCCTCCCGAGGAGGCCACGCGCTTCCCCTCCCGTACACTGAATATGTCCACGTAGAATCGTACGAGGTCCTCCACCACGCGGCCGGCCTTGTAGTCCTGCCCGTCCGTCTGGAAGAGCGTCGGCCCGAAGACGATGGCCAGGTTGTGGGTCGTCATCTGGTTCATGTCGGAGAAGCACTGGACCCTAGAAGAAGAAGACCAGCCGCCCACTGAGGAACTGGCCCACCACGAAACCCACCGCCACCACCAAAACCCCCATCTCACATTCCCTCCCTCCCTCCTCCCCCGCCCCATATAAACATGTTGGCCAGAATCCAAAATAATATTTCTGGCTGACCAGCTCCATGGGTTGAGTCTCTGTTTGTAGAGCCAGAGGTTGGGAGTGAGAGACAACCTATGTAGCCTTGGACAAGACAAACAGTCCCAGGGATGCCCCCAGAAGCAGAGACTGTGAAGCCACTCCTGAGTACAGAAGGACCTCGGTATCCGCAGGGGATCGGTTCCAAGACACACATCCCCCCATGGCAGATGCCAAAACACAGGTAAATATTGAATGATATACATTGCATGATCACTGTCTCCCTCTTGTGGCTGGCTCTGGTAAATACATGGTGGAAATACATATAAGTAGGTATTTCTTGGGGGGGGGTGTTATTTAGCATTTTCAGGCAGAAGATAAGTGAATTAGTTGGATCCTGATCTTTAAAAAATGTTTAAAATGCTTGGAATCATTAGTGCACCTAATAAAACCTTCGTTAACTTAATTTGGCTTTGTTCTGAGTCTTTTTGAATTTTTTGTGAATTTCCCCCCCATTGAAATAGGCTTCAATGCATTTCAATGGGTTTCGCTTAACGTTTTTTCCTATGGGGATTTTCGCTTAAGGATGGTAATCTGTTCCAATTGGAACGGATTATCTGGTTTTCAATGCATCTCTATGGGAAATGGTGTTTCGCTTAACGATGTTTTCACATAGCGATTTTATTTTTGGAATCAATTAAAATCGTTAAGCGAGGCACCACTGTATTTATTTCTTAGATAGGAGGGCCTGGCGTGCTCTGGTCCATGGGGTCATGAAGAGTCGGACACGACTAAACGACTAAATAACAACAACAACAATTTATTTCTTGGGGGGGGTTATTTAGTATTTTCAGGCAGAAGTGAATCAGTGGATACTAATTCCACAGAGCAGGGGGTCGTATTGTATTCTCAAGCTGCAAAACCCTGGAAAGGGTTGCCGTAAGTCAGAACGGACGTGATGACACATTATCATCATTGTTAAAAGCACTGGCCTAATTTGAAATGGCAAACAGCCACTAATTAACAAGTCCTTGATTGACTTATTAGTAGGTGGCTAAGTCATTTTGTGTGGTGGCCTAAACTCAGGGTTCGTGGCCCTAGAGAGCCTATAGGCTTGGAGGCCCGGAGTGACTGGAGGTCCTGCAAATCCAGCTGGCCAGCGTTAGAGACCGGGGGCTTTGCCTCCCTGCTTTTTCCAGCAAGGCACTCTGGACATGCACACACAGGCCCTGCTCACGCCAACCCTGCGCCACTTACCGGTACAGGTGGTTGGTGAGGGTCTTCAAGGTGGCTCGGTTGACCCCAGGGAGGCCGTTCAGGAGCTTTCGATAGCGGCCGATCTTCTCCTTGGCATCCTCCACAGCTATCAGGAAAGCAAGAGAGAAGCAAGATGACGTGTAAAGGGTCGCCGGAGAACGAGGGTCCTTGTCCCTTCCACACCGAGGACAAATACAATACTGTCCCCTGTCCAGCTCCCTGATTTTGCTGCTTTCACGACGGCCTCTTGGCCTCGGCCTGCTGGACAAGAGTCTCTTCAAATTGGGAGAGGCCGTGATGCACCACCTGCCTCCAGGCTGAACGCTCGAAGGTCAGGGTTTCCCATCTGTGGAGGTCCATTCCTAAGGCCTTCAGATCCCGCTTGCAGATCTCCTTGTATCGCAGCTGGGGTCTCCCTCTGGGGCGATTTCCCTGCATTCATTCTCCATTCAGGAGATCTTTTGGAATCCAACCATCAGCCATTCTCATGACATGCCCGAGCCAGCGTAGGCGTCGCTGTTTCAGTAGTGTATACATGCTAGAAATTCCAGCTCGATCTAGGACTACCTTCATACAAAACAACGAAAGATCCTCGCAAGCAGACAGCTAGCTTGTCAGCAAGAACTCTGGCCTATACGATCTAAAGAGAAACCAGCGCCCTGGCACAGGCATATCCTTTGCGTGGGTCATGGTGATTCCTGATCTTACTAACATTTAGTCCTGCGAGCTTCTCCACCATCCCCAGAGGCAGTGATAGGAGGAGGGCTCAGATGAGGTTCCTGCTTCTCCATAGATTCCCCCACCTTTCTGCACGGCTGCAACTTCCTTGCAGCTGTTCACCTCCCTCCCCTCTTCCCAGCTCAGTGTCCCCTCTAACTTTTCAGGAGGATCTTTTCCCGTGGGAGAATCCCCATCCGCATCTCTGGCCGTTATCTTTTCTTCCAGACCAGCCCAGGAGGAATATCCGAGGAGGATGAAGGAGAGGCGAAAATTTAAGCTTTCTATCTTTGATTGCCCAGCTCTCCTCTCCTTGTGCACCAAAGGTTTGCCTCCCACTGAAGACACAACACAACACAGGGTGTTTGTTCTCCTGGCTGTGGCTTCATTTGCCTTTTTCCTGCCCTGTCGGTGACCAACAGCACTGGAGAAGACCAGCCCAGGAGGAATATCCGAGGAGGATGAAGGAGAGGCGAAAATTTAAGCTTTCTATCTTTGATTGCCCAGCTCTCCTCTCCTTGTGCACCAAAGGTTCGCCTCCCACTGAAGAGGCAACACAACACAGGGTGTTTGTTCTCCTGGCTGTGGCTTCATTTGCCTTTTTTCCTGCTCTGTCGGTGACCCACAGGACTGGAGAAACGGCGTGGCTGAAACACTGTGCCCCTCAGTCGTAACCCGGCGGAAGATCTGGGAGCGTCCAGGACCACACGGGACACCGTGTCATGCCTTGAGAAGCTAAGGGGCAGGATTTCCCCCTCCCGTGTCACAAAATTCCCATTGTGAGGGTTAATCCGGAACGGATTAACCTCGCTATGAGAGGCACCACTGTAGCTGAAACACTGCGCCCCTCGGTCGTAACCCGGCGGAAGTCCGATTTTGCCCTCCCGTGTCACAAAGATCAATGAACCAGCAGGTGGAACCAGCATGTTCCAATTGCACCCATCTTCTCTGTGCTCTCCCTTACTGATAGCCAGGAAAGAATCTCTCCCCTCCAACCCCCACATGTATGCAAACTTTCCCGAGGTATCAATGAACCAGCAGGTGGAACCAGCATGGTACAGCTGCGCCCATCTTCTCTGAGTCCTCCCTTAGTGATAGCCAGGAAAGAATCCCTCCCCTCCAACCCCCACAGCTATGCAAACTTTCTCCTGAGGCAGAGATCTGAAAAACTCAGGCATTCATCTCTTGTAGGGTGTTCCATTGTCGTTTTTACATGCCATCAATCTGACCCCGATTTGTGGCAAACCTAGGAAGGCCTAGCCTCCAAAATGCCTTGCGCCCTTGATAGCCTTGCTCGCTGAAGACTGTGGCTTCCTTTACAGAGTTATGGAATTTTACCAATCTGAATAAAAGTACAGTAGGACCCCCTTATCCACAGGATCACTTATCCTCAGTCTGAGAATATTAAAAATATTAAAAGAAAACAACCCGGGGGAAAAAAACTATTTTCACGTGTATTACCAGAGCTAGTCACTATGAGGAGACAGAGACCATGCTATGAATAAATGTTAGTGAAAAAATACATAACATGGTCCCTGGCGTCCTCTAGTGGCCAGTTCTGGTAATGCATGTGAAAATACAGTATATATATTTTTTGGTTTGGTTTCCTTTCACCATGCTATATATAGAGCGTTTGCTATTATCCATGGTTTTCAGCATCAACAGGGGGGGTTGGAACCAATCCCCAGCAGATATGGCAATCATATTGTACTTTTACTTCTACTGAAGAGTCCCACTCTTACCTCCATTTTAAAAAACAAACTTACAAGGGATGGGGCCAAAACCCAGGTTTTAGGTAGGATGGGAATCCTCACATTTTGTGTAGACAGAGAAACAGCCATAAACAAGCCCAGTTATTGGTGAATTTGATCAACCCTAAGGAACGCTCCTTACCTGGTACCTTCAGCCAGGCCTGGGAGGCATCTTTGGTGAACAGCCCATCTTTAATGTCCCGGAAGAACCTCTTGAGGGTGTTGGCCACGTCGTCCACCTGATGCTCCCCTTCCTTGAGCCGGACCCGGCGCGCGTCCTTCCTAAGCATCTCCAGGAGACTGGTCGTCTTGGAATTTTGCCCGCTCTTCCGGTAGATCCCTTCTGAGGTCAGGCCTGAGGGAGGCGTGGGATGCAGGAGGAGGAGAACGGGGGTAAATTTGGGAAAAGGTGAGAGTTCGGACAGAGTGATGATGCTCTCCTTAAAGGAAAAGTGCTCTAGCCACACACACCCATCTGTGCCTTTCGGGTCTTTGGGCTTCTAAATTAGACTTCAGACAGTGGGTCCCGCCAACAGGAAGAGCTGGACACAGAAAGCAAATGAGGCTTTGAAAATGGAGAGTCACCCTGGCCATCCTGGAGAGGAAGCTCTGGTAGCCAAAATATTTATGAAAGAACCAGTTCTTCCATGCAGAAGAACTAGATTCCTGTATCCATGGGATCAGCATATACGGTTTCACTTATTCATGGTCTGAAAATATCAAAAATATTAAAAGAAAAAAATCCAGAAAAAAAATATTTTCACATGTATTACCAGAACCTGCACTGGAGACCACGCTATGAATACTTGTTAGTAAAAAATAATAGCATGGTCACTGACACCCTGTAGTGGTCAGTTCTGATAATGCAGGTGAAAATATTTTCTTTCTTTTCTTTCTTTCTTTCTTTCTTTCTTTCTTTCTTTCTTTCTTTCTTTCTTTCTTTCTTTCTTTCTTTCTTTCTTTCTTTCCTTCCTTTCGTCCGTCCGTCCGTCCGTCCGTCCCTCTATCTATCTATCTATCTATCTATCTACCTATCTACCTATCTACCTATCTACCTATCTACCTACCTATCTATCTATCTATCTATCTATCTATCTATCTATCTATCTATCTATCTATCTATCTATCTATCTATCTATCTATCTATCTATCTATCTATCTATCTATCACATTTGCTGTTATCCATGGTTTTCAGTACCCACAGGGGGGAGGTCTTGGAACCAATGTCCAGTGGATATGGGGGTCCTGTTGTACTGCTTTTTCCTGGATTTTTGTATAGATTTTTCAATCACATCTTCCAGACCATATGATGATTACAAGGCAGCTTGCAGGATGCACACATTTAAGAAGAGTTTTTTTGAAGTAGCAAAAGCAGCATGAAATGAATATGTCTTCACAATTTTTATGGAGAGAGGGAGAGAGAGAGAGAGAGGGAGGTGTATGGAGCCTTACATACCACACTGAGTGATGTAGTCAATACACCGGTCCACGATAACAGGAACGTCAGTCTCCGTGAGCTGCTGCTCCGACAACGTGTCCCCGGAGCTGCCGGCCGCCTTCTGGATAGCATGGGTCCATCCCAGGAAGTCCAGTTTCCTCTCGCCTTGCAGGTAGAGGGTCCTGGAAGAGAAAAACCGAAAAGAAGGCAGGCGAACGTGAGTTTGGGGACAGCTTTCCAGGGCTGAGCTCAGCCACACAA